CACAGGCGAACTGCAGACGCTGAAGCTGACCGCGATGCATTTCGTGCGTGCGATATACAACACGACCGAATTCGTTGCCGGCAAGCGCGATCCGTATCGCACACGCGACAAGTAGAGTAGAATAAAGAATGATAACCTACTTGCCTTAGAATCCAGCGCTGTTTTCTGCCCTAAGTCAGACTGAAGTATATATCCGATAGGCATATTGTGTTCTCGGGCCATATTGGCGTTTCCAACTGTTGCTGTCGTGTGTTGGTCGTGACCCCGGAGGAAGGAAAAGTGACTATCTTGAAGCCAGAGATATACAGCGCGGCGTCGTGACGTGTCTAGACTTGCTCCAGACTTCATGGGTGCAGCGAAACGCAACAGCAGCAGCCTATGCTAATCCAAGCGTACGTAATTCTTAGATCGTCGAATCCAGGCGGCCGTGGTCGAGCACTGCGAGCGCGATGCAACACGCCAACCGTCACCGGCAAAATACGGGGAAAGACTGAGCCAGCAGAGAAGGAGAAGGAAGGAGGAGGGCAGGGCGCCTTGGCAACGCTTTTCGCGCTGCCTGCAATCCGCGGGCGGTTCATCCCTTTGGCGCGTGTGGTTTGGCGCGGCACCCTTCCCTCTGTGATTGCTCCTCAACTGTCTATCCGTTCATCGCGCGCGCCTATTGGGCCCCGTTACTCCTTTTTCGGGTCATTTTGCCTTAGAGTGTAGGAGTGGTTTCTCAAGTCAATCAATGAAGAACGGCGCTCTTGACGAGAAACTTGACTAAACAAATTGGCAGTTAGAAATAAACTGCTGCATTAGTACTGTAGCAGAGCTGTGCCAGGAAAGGACTCTTACAAAACATTAAGTAAAAACGCATTACCATACGAAAATTTCTGATAATATTTGTAATCATGAGCTGTTTCTGTAAGGACTTTACAAGTATATTCAAGTAGATCGTAATTCAGTGAGCTCAACAAGTAAAAGCCACCTTGCCATACCATTATGGTATGCTTAGTTGCCTAAAAACATCACTGCACCAAAACATTTAACGAATATCAGTATAGAAGATTCTAGACGCCTGAATTACTCCAGGAAAAATGAAGAAGCACCGATAATGAGTATGGTGTTTTAAGCAACAAAGCTTTTCCATTATTATGAATCCATGATGCACCAAACAGTTGCGAAACAGTACTTCTACGATTAACACAGCCACTACCACCACAAGTTTTGTTAAAATAATTTGTGCCTTTTGTGGTACCGCACAAAATACTTTGCCACAAAATGTAAAGAAAATGTTCGAGTCTCATGTCGCCCTTTTGAAATCGCCTTGCTTTATTTAACATGGCACTGCATAAATATAGGTAAATTATACTTCCAATATTTGCAGACGTTCTGTATTATCCCTCAGGCTAAGAAAAATACTTTTTAGTGTTTTTTAGTGTTCAAATTAGAGCTAAGTATTTTCACTCCGAAAAAAAAATTTTCTGTGAAGGGCTCCTCTCAATGACCAGTTGAATATCGGTAGGGTAGGACGGTTAAGTACCTAATGCCAACTTTCTCTAGACTTTCCTGAAGGAGACTGCCGTCCTTTTAATAAAATTTACTCATTCATTCACGGTGAACCGGAAGCTGACTTTTCGCTTTCACATATATAAGCGCGAAATGTGCCTTAGCCTATAAAATATTAAATTAGGTCTGAGCCAAGCATATGTATACCAGGAAAAAAACAAAAAGAAAAGGAAGTATGGGTATATGAGTATCAAAGTCTCTGGGGTTTTAAAACTGCTTCTTTTGTAGAATAATTTGTACTTGATGAAGCCACTGATGTACATCTTGTGTCAGCTTGGAGTAGTAGCGTGTTGACTGTACCACACCGAGACATGCTTTTTCTGTTTGTAGAAGGAGTAGTCGACATACTAATTCACAGTTTAGATTCATTTTTGTTTGTCGCATCCTCGAAACAGACATGATCTTGACGTCTTGCTAAAATATGCACATTTAATAAATACAGACACGTGCTGCTGGTAATAAATGGCATGGCGATAATAACATAACTAATTATTACAATTCACCATTAAAAATGAAGTGAACCGTTCAGCACCTATAGTTTACCGGCTGTTACTGCCAGGTTTGATATTCATTCCTCGCTATTTCAAAATCGCGACATGTAAAAAAGCTTTACGTCACTTCAAAGCTGATTCGATAAACACTCATGTGCAATTGATTGAGTACTGTGATGTTTTTCGCGCAATGTCCAGCTGAGGTGATGTGGCTCGCGCAGCCGTTCCAGCCCACTAATCTCAAGCTCTATCGTTAGCTACAGCAATACATAAGGCTTTACAAAAAACGAATGCACTGGGCTGGAAAACGTGTTTCATTATTTTGGTTTCGTCAGCATTTTCGCATATGAGTCGGAGCAGTGTTGGCAAGTTCAACTAGCGCCTGTCTGCTGAAAAACGTTCGCTGGGAGCGCATTTCTTTTTGTGCGGACGCTTTACAACAGAAAAAAATGCTTCATTCGCATTAACAGATGCCTCATCCAAGTTGCAGAGTCTATTGTAGTCGTCCGAATTGTGTATACCGTTAAATAGAAGCGGCAATCACACTTGGACGGGCTTTGGAGTATGCTTGGCTTAACCTTCGCTGGAAATTCTGCTGGTAGACCGAGATGGTGCAAGGAATGCTTACTGTGACTCATTTTAATGGTTGTCGAGAGCGAAAGCTTTTGATTTTCAGTGTTGCACCTACTTGCATTGTTAAAGTACGGTAATGGGGTGTGTAACAGTTGCCCTAGTGGCATTTACAGTAGCAATATCCTGTAGCTGCCGTATTTTGGTTTACCTGTTGAAAGGGGCAATAACGAACCAAGACTAATTTATTTCTCCACAACTGCGCGACAATGTAACACATATGCTGTCACGGATCTCACCGTCACCTTTAGTCTTGTAAACATGAAAATACATCAACAAGCCACGGATGTAAAGTGATGTAAGTACCAGCGCGAACTCAAAAGAATCACTGCTGCTGTGCTCTACAAATGGTGAGGCGGTTATTTATGCTACGTAGATGAAGCAAGCGTTGGATTCTTTTCATTGTAAACACATTTCGCGGCGTATTCCAGAGATAAACATTGACCATAAGGTATTTTTACTACCACCGCTTCATTTTTTAGCATCTCAACATCGTTCATGATTCTTTCATCACGCCACCACCATCCAGCTTCTTAGTCAAGCCATCCGGCAAACTTGTTTTGCATCGACACCATCAGCCAGAATTTTCCTCGGTCACCATCCATGGCTCTCCACCATTTCAACTGAACAAAACGCGCCATCACCACCACCCTCTGTAACAATTTTTCCATTCTCGCCATCACAAACCATTATAAGCAGCGCAGCCTCTATAGCATATCCACTAATATTAAATGCGAAGCATTTTTTAGCGAACTTCGGCGACTTTGAGCGTATCTATCAAGACGCTACGCTTAGTTGCTCTTGTGGTCACCCCCTTAACTTGGCATGAACCCAACTTAGCATGAGAGGGTAAGATGGTTTGACAAATATGACCACCTGGTGAAGACATGAAGAATGTCACAATCCCGTCACGTACGTCGTCAAATACTTCCCGCCAGACAGTGGCACTTACCCAGCGGCGGGTATGTGCTGCTGGTATGCAAGTGAGTGAGTGCCACAGGTGATTGACACTTAGTATCTACCTAGGAACGACGAGAACACACATGGGCAATTTGAACGCGTGAGCGTTAAGGAATACCCGACATCGGTAGCGTCGACCCAACGAAGGCATCAAATAAATGTCAGTGTTAGGAAAATCTAACACCGGCGGCGTTGACCCTCCGTCGAATGCCATATAATAGATTTCAGGGTTCCAGCAGGAATCGAACTCAAGCATTCTGCTTGGCAGTCAAAAATTCTACCACAGAGCTACGCTAGCTCTCGGAATTACTTCTAAAAGAGACGCTGACCTTCAAAAAATCTTAACAGGTTGCAGTGCTGCCTACCAAATTTCATGAATATTACTTTTGTACTCAATTGACACAGCCGTCACGTCAAGTTAACGTCAATTGTTGTGAGGGGCCATGCGGTGGATTTGATTTATGTAGTACTGTCCAGGGCCAGCATCTTCGCGAGCACCAGCGCTTGGAATCAGCATCTGATGTTGCTAATACGAATGTTCCAGTTCACTTCGTTGTGAGAGTACAGACAACTGACTATTTGAAAATCGTCAACATATGTCTGTGCGTGCAAATATGTGGATAGATACGTGGGGTTCATCGTCCCGAAACCACCATGTGATTATGGGAAACGCCGTAGTGAAGGGCTCCGGATATATAAACCACCTGAGGTTCTTTAACGCGCACCCAAATGTGAGCACATGGGCCTACAGCATTTTTGCCTCCATCTAAAATGCAGCCACCGCCGCCGGGATTCGATCCCGCGACCTGCGTGTCAGCGGCCGAGTACCTTAGCCACTCGATGACAACGGCGGGGCGTCTGTGCGTGCAACACTTGTGCATATATTTGGCGTTATTTTATGATGTGTCACTCAATAAAAAATTGCAACATGATCACCTTCCCTTCTCATGCTTTGCATAACATTGGTTCCCAGGTACGTGAGATCTGCTGAACTTTTTTCCACCATGTCCACTACTCTCTCCACCTTACCCACCAAAGAATCCAGCATGCATCAACCCCTGATTCTCATTAGGTATTTAAAGGCTGGGCTGAGGGCCGTGACCCTAGAAAACTGCGTCAGCAGATTTTGCCACCTTACACGGTTGAACGAACAAGCGTTCATTTTTTTTCTGGTATGTGAGGGAGCGCAGAGACAGAAGGCTCTTATTATTAGTGTCAACGCTTTAGAATATCGGGAAGATTCTTGGGTAATTGCATTTTTTTTAGATTTTGATATATCAACACAACATATTTTTAGGCACGCAGTTCGAACACAGCAATAATATTCGTGGCCTAAACTTCCTTCTTCAGTAGAGAAATAGAACTCACCTTGGCAGCATCTGTGTGAGAAAACAGTAAAGCACTTACAAACATACAGAGTAGCGAAAACCTCACTAAAATCATTGCGTTTTGTACCCAGTGATAACTCGTTGGTGAAGCTAAGTGCTTAAATGGTTGCCAACAAAGCTCGTTAGGGTATTTATATACCCTTTTAAACTACGCTTTTTGCAAAGGCTGCATATTAAGATATGGGCGGCAAAACAGTACTAACGCGTGGCTACAGAAATGAAGTGTCGTATGAAACCTAAGATTTATATGTCATCACAAAGCGATCACGGGCGTAAAGATTTTTATTTTTCAGTGGTTCATTGACTGCTCTGAAAAAAACCTTCAGGTAGTTACTAGGAAACTGTGCTAATAGCTATGAACTTTAATTTTTTACAGTCAAGTCTGTGGCCTTATATACGGCTACGCATTGCTTCAAAATATCGCCGAGGCTGTCGCAGCGATGATTGTGGTCGTGAAAGTGGCGTTATCAGTGTCCGATAATGCAAAACAGAGGAAATATTTAAATAACAATTTTTATAAGCCTCGCCATGGCACTCTAGTGGTTGTGTTACTGGGCTGCTGACCCAGTGGTTTCGCGGGACCAAATCCTGGCTGCTGCGGCTGAATTTTCACTCGAGGCGCAAGTGCCATAGGCTGATCTGTTCAGATTTGGGTGCACATTAACTCCAGGTTGTCGACATTTCTGGAGCCTTCCCCTACGGCGTCTCATATGATCATATGATGGTTTTGGGACGTTAGACGCCCCATATAAATCATTTTATAGTAGTTATGTACAATTGTGCAGGCCCACCTTGATAAAACGTCATTCACCGCGTCTTTTACAAAGGACTTGAAGTTTACTGTGCCCAATTATGCCGGCTTTTTAGTGGAGAACTAGCGGTAATGCAACGGAATCATACTGTTGAGGATATTCATACTGTTGAGGAACAATTGCAACCGAATCATACTGTTGAGGAATGATTGTTCGACATGCGGTGTCAAAGACCAACATCGAGACTCTTTTATCCACTCGAATAGAATACATCAACAAAAAACAAGATGTGCATGCGTTTCGGGTACGAACTCTTTAATAAAGTAATGAAGCGACATATTTGCACCATAAGTATAAACGTATTTAGGTGCTAATTCACTTTAATACTGAAGTTCACTCAAAAGAAGCATTACGTCATGTTCTTTTGTGGAATGTAACAATGAGTGCTATGAAACCACGTCATGCAACTTTGATGCACATCTATGCATTATAATTTGTGACTGAAAGAGACAACGTACTTCATATGGTTCAGAAAAAGTTTGAACTCAAATTTCGTGCACGTCAAACGAGAAATACACGCCAATAATTGAAAGACCTTAGTGAAAAAACTGTATTATTAATGTGACGTAAAAGTAGAAAAATCCTCCTACTACGCGGGAGAAGCGGATAGTTGCAGCGGACGTGAAAATATGAGAATTTCGCAACGAGAGGCTTGTGTAGAGCTGTCGAGCCATTACAATCTGCGGAGGTCACTTTGCGACTTCAGTGCAGTAGGTATTGTGCATAGTGGGAAATGACAAACGTCGTCACGTTTCTTTTCTTGCGGCACAGTTAAAGGTGGAACGCTTGAGAGAAGATTACACTACTGCGTTGTATTCTATAAAATGAAATGGAAGGATACATCAAATTTTTAGGACATATTGTGGCGCACCAACATAAGACCTAAAATAAAAAAATTGGCAGCAAGTCAACGGGGTGAATGATGGAGAGTGGGGCGAAGCATTCGTCTGTCCCTTCGTTCTTGCTTCCGTCGGTGCATGCGTCCGCCTGTGTGACCGTCCATGCGTCCATCCACCCGTCCGTGTGTGCATCTGTTCGTGCATCCGTCCCTGCGTTCGTCCATGCATCCGCCCCTGCGTCCGTTCATGCGTCCATTCATGCATCTGTCTGTGTGTCCGTTCGTCCATCTATTCAACACTCCAAGTATCGAAATCTCGCATCTTTTCATTGTACATTCCCCATATAGAAGTACCGCTATCCAGCGGACATTCCAAGGACTAAACGAGAGGTGGCACACGCGCACTTTCTTACGGCTTGCGCTTCGGGTCTACATCCCACCTTTAACCACCTCGAGTTCATGGTATATACTAGTTCACTGTATTCATGGTACTGCGGCCCAACGCTCGCTAAATCTTTCTAAAACGAAGGAGGTTTCGCTCAGCGAGTATAACGTAGCAACCTTTTCCTGTCAGATAGTGCTCACTGTACATGCGAATGACTGCTAATGGGAAATGAGAGACAGGTGAATTTGGCTTTTACTTTCTTACGGCTTGCGCTTCGTATCTACTTCCCACTTTTAACCACCTCGAGTTCAATCATGGTATATAGTAGTTCATTGTATGCAGGGCACTGCGACTCAACGCTCGCTAAACCTTTTTAAAACTAAGGAGGTTATTCCAGCGAGTATAACGTAGCAACCCTTTCTTGTCAGATAGTGCTCAATGTACATCCCCATGGCTGCTATTGTGAATTGCAGCGTGCGCGTTAACTAAAAGCCGAATGCTCCTGTCTCTCATTCCCCATAGCAGCCATTGGCATGTACATTGAGCACTACTTTTTTGCTCAACAACGCAGAAGAAGTTCCTCACCGACACAACTTTGGAGGTCAAATTTTTATACTTGGTACATACTACAATGGCTACGAGGGACGGACGAGTGCCGCTATAAAAAGCTTCGTCCCTAAAAGGAAAAATCACCCTGAAAGTGCACTGCTCACCCGCGGAAAGAAAGAGGATTTCAACGCCTTATTTATGGGGAGATTGAAGAGGAACAATGACTTGCTTTATAATGACCAACTTCAAAATCAGAACTTTAATGCCACATGTTTCACTATGAACCTAATTATTAACGAGAATATCAAGGTGGATGCTTCAATTGTTTTAGTTTCGCGACAGTTAGTTGATGATATTTTGCGAAAATTTGTATGCTTGGTCACTGGCAAGCACAGCTGATAAGCGACTTCATTCTTATTGATTAGAAGCTATGTATTACTACGTTGTCACTTTCAAAATTTTTGATGTCAAGTTGTTTTGCGCTGCAGTCAGAAGATGGCGTCTCCACCTATATTTCTTTTCGCGCGTTTGTTCGACCCGGCCCTGTCAGCGCCATGTTGTGGTAAGAGGGGCAATTTCAGATAAGGGTCACGGTAGTTTACTGATAAAATAAAATCAGTTGACTCTTTAGTGTCCCTTTACTACGCTTGTTTAACTGGTATGTTGAGAAACCACACCCTATCTTGCGTTTATCGGCAGCACCGAGGGAATGAGGGATAACCTTCAGGAGGACTTTAGCAGAAATTATTTTATCTTGCAAAATATGCTGCAGGTTAAACCTAAACGACTGCTTAAGTATGAATGTGCGGATAGAGATCTATTTGAAAGGTATGCATTGAAATGACTCCGCCAAACATAACAGACTGGTATAAGCCAGAACCTAAAAGAAGTGGTGAAGAACATCACTATGGAGATTTCAACGCGGCTTGGTATCTCAAAAAGAACTGGTATACCAAAAGCACACTTCTTGGAGGCAAAACAAGCTTTTCAATAAAGCTTCAAGGCGTAGATGCTCAACCACAGGCTCAAAAATAATCTACTACTCGCTCACGAAGAAATAGAATCCTAGCTCGCCCAGCCTCACCCACCAAAATGTGATAGGAAGTGCAACCAAATGGGTCATAGAGGAAAACAGGCAGCCTTACAAGTATTCCCCATTGCCCCACACAATTCACAGGAAGTCGGCAAACTTTATATCACACTTGAATCCTAGGCAAAGGGCTATATTTACCAGCGGTTATCATGTCCACACGCTACATGCCCGGCCCATGTCCATTTCCTCTTTTTGATTTCAACCATGACATCCTTAACCCCCATTTGTTCCCTGATCCACTCTGCTCTCTTCTTGTCTCTTAAAGTTACACCTACCATTTTTTTTCTTTCCATTGCTCGCTGCGTCGTCCTCAATTTAAGCTGAATCCTCCGTGTAGGTCTCCATGTTACTGCTCTGTAGCTAAGTACCGGCAGGATAGAGCTGTTATATACCTTCATCTTGAGGGATAGTGACACTTTACCTGTCACAATTAAAAGTGCTTGCCCAATGTGCTCCAACTCCTTCTTATTCTTCTAGTTACTTCAATCTCGTGGGTCGGCTCCGCGGTTATTACCTGCCCTATGTAGACATAGTCTTTTACAACTTCAAGTAGACTATTACCTATCTCGAAGCACTGCTCTCTTCCGAGGTTGTTGTACGTTACTTTCGCTTTCTGAAGAATAATTTTAAGGCCTACCTTTCTGCTCTCCTTGTCTAACTCTATAATAAAGAGTTGCGATTCTTCCCCTGAGTTACTCAGCAATGCAATGTCAACGGCAAAGCGCAGGTTACTAAGGTACTGTCCATTACCTCTTTTTCCTAACTGTTCCCATTCCAGGCCTCTGCAAAACTCCTGTAAGCACGCGGTAAATAGCATTGGGGAGATTGTATTCCCCCTGTCTTAAACTCTTCTTGATTGGTATTCTGTTGCTTTCTTTATGAAGCAGTACGGTAGCAGTTGATCCCCTGTAAATTTCATCCAGGATGTTTACATATGCCTCATCGACGCCCTGATACCGCAATGTTTTCATGGTTGCTGATATTTCTGCTGACCCAAACGCCTTCTCGTAATCTCTTCATGCCATAGCCTTGATTAAAAAACTAATTTATAGTCTAACTTCTTGTGGAATTAGAAACAAAGCATTGCTATTTTGTGCATGGTTCCTAGTACGTCAGATGAATCTTTGCCGAGGTGTCTCATGTGGTAGCTAAGCAATAGGTCCTTACCAAGTGACACTCCCGAAAATTTCTGTTCCATTACTTTTTTGAGGAACACACCATCAAACATAAGGAAAGTTTCATAATTACCTTCATTTTTGATAGGTCTATGAAGAGTGTGGGTTGTTTTCGATGCGTTCAATCGTAATATATTTTCATTTAAACAAACGAATAATGACTTTAACCATCTAAAATTATACATTTATTTAGTTCATACAGGTCATTTAAAACAAGAAGAAATAAATTAGCAATGTCAA